TTTCCTTTTATTTTTAAAGAAAAAACGCATTTACGTCAATACTTTTGTTTTTGTTACTAGTCATACTTTTTGTAGGTCTTGCATAACACAAGCTATAAAGACCAAACCAAACTGCCCTGTTGATCGTTCTCCCATTTCAGAGAATGTTGTTCTTAAGCCTGCGGCAAAAATAATTGTAAATATGGTAAACGAATTACTAGTATACTGCCCGAACCACGAAGATGGGTGTTCGCACACTGGTCAAAGACAATTAATAAGTAGTCATCTCAGAGAAAAATGCGAGTATATAAAACTTGAATGTAAGAATGACGAGTGTCGTGAGTTAGTGTTGAAAAAGGACATGGCATCGCACATGGAAAATTGTCAGGCTCGAATGGTTTATTGTGATATGTGCAAGAAAAAAGTGCCATTTGCTACGTTTGAGGTTAGATTATTTCATATTTTTAGTTTCTCTGATCCTTAGATTTTTTATTCAATCTAAAGACCATCTCCCTCAATAAAGGAGCATTCTGATAAATGTCCAAACCGAATTGTAGAGTGCCAGTACTGTCATACATCTCGTCCTTTCCTAGAGAATGATGCACATCTTGACGAGTGTCCTGAGAAGCCAACTCAATGCCCACACTCGCAATTTGGGTGTTCGTGGACTGGTCGTAATGCTGACTTACTGGTGGTGCATAATCCCTCGTGTCCATATGAACCTCTTAAAGAGTGCCTTGAAATGCATAAAAGGCGTACGGAAAATCTTGAGGCTGAGAACATGCAACTTCGAACTAAAATTCAAGAGCTCACTTCATCTGTAGATTCATTACGTGATCATATGACCACGATATCTGATTGGTTGACTGTAATGTTTCCTTCGCACTTTATCGATCCCAAGATGCCCACAACCAATATTATTGAGAGTGAACATTCGGTTTCAGAGAATGAGCAGATAAAAAATGATCTCGTCACCATATCTGATAACTTAGTCGAGTTGGAATTGCGACAAAATGTAGCGCTCATGACTGAAAGTTTAAGGATGCAAGAAGAAATGCAAAGTCTGAAAGCTTTGTGCCATGGAATAAGAATGCAGGTGCACTATCTTTTGATGGAGCGACAAGGTGGTGATACTTCAAGGGGAACAGCAGCACCTTCATCGTCTGTTGGCAGGTCTGGACTTGTTGCTACTCCTTCAGTTAGATCGGTTAATTCAGCTAGAACGCGAGCGCTTGGTAATACTAATGTAGGCGATTCTGTTAGATCCAATATGCCGAATAATGAGGGATCGAGCGCTTGGAAGGTTAACTCCGCATTATCTGGTGATTATTCTACTTATTCGTTTTTTGTATTCGATGTCAATATATTATATTGAAATTTATTTTCATGTTTTTCAGATATTCGACAAGATACTAAACTGTAATAACTTTTAATAATATCTCGAACTATGATTTTATTTTAAAACTAAGTTAGAATATTAGATATATACAAAGTAATATAATAAACTATTTTAATTTTTTAGTAACGTATAAATTATATTATGAATTTCGAATCAAAATCCAAACCAGCCGCCTTTACTACTCTGCTGTTGCTGCTGCGTTTGGATCTGCTGTTGTTGTAGCTGAGATCTTTGAGCCAAAGCTTCGCCAACTTTTGCATTTACTTTGAAAAATTTCGTTGCACATCGATCAATACACACTGATTCACCTTTATTCAGTTCACCTTCGAGGTATTGTGTTGGAATACATTTTTTGAAGCAAGAATCAACAATACTTTTTTACGATCAAATCAATGAAGGAAAGATATGTTACTGTTTATGTTTATATAAAGCATGTGATTTTTTTCATTTACCGTTGGAAAGTATCCGTCACTATTTCTAGTTCTTGCTCAGCCATAGCCACATTTTGTGGATTAATCGTTTGTTGTTGGTTTATGCCGCCATATAAATATGACATTTTTATTGTATCAAGTTTTAAAAATAAAAATTTTTTTTAATAAGGAAATACAAATAAGGAAAATTTATTATTCCTCATTGGAAAATCATTGTGCAGTAACAGATCTTATTCGTCGATACAACGGATTTTGGAACCAATCGGACAATTACGAGATAACTTTATTGAATTTAAACAAATATTTCTGAGAATAATAGTTAATTACTTTAAAAGGAAAAAAAAAACCACTGAAAATAAATAAACTAAGCTTTAGTTATATATTCAGTTTAGATTTATAATTTTATGGTCAAACCTCTTTATAGAAACACGGTATTATAAGTGTATATATTAAAAATCACTTCTTTATATGGAAGAAACGTTCCATAAGAATTAGATTTTCTGGCCCACTGGAGAGAAAATGACTATACCTCTAAATGTATTAGAAAAATTATGCGTTTAGAGGAGTTATGCATTTAATCAGAAATTTTGCATTTTGTGTCGGATTTGCGTCTCATCGCAAATCTCAAACTTTGTTTTAATCTTAAATGATAAAGCGTCACATGAGCCATTCGCCACGTGAGCGTGAAATGGGGCAAGATATTTAGGAAAGTCCGGACAATAATTATCGTTGAGAATTCTAGGTCGTAGATGATCATGATCCGTTCTCTTTTGAAAGGTAACCTTCCTCGTACAATAAAAAACTTCTGAAGCAGTGGGTTGGTATTCAACATCAAGAGACAACAATATTCTTAATACCAAAATAAAAAAACTATGAGATTTTACAAGTTACCAACAGCTTTCTCAATTCACTAGATAAATTCTATAAAATAGATTTTGGGAAGAAGCACCCATTAAAGTTTCAATTTGAATTGTTGCTTTTTTTAAGCTTTGACAGATTATTTATATTCATCATAGGCACTAAATTATTTTCACGCAAGTGATAATTTGTGAACAAAAATAAATATATCTCCCTCTTGTAATCAACAAATCAGTAGTTTTAGCGCATTGTGGAAATTATGTTAATAAAGCCTTTTTGATTCACCACCCAATAAAAATGGGATATCTTAATCGTCCTGATCTCTTTTCCCGCTATTCTGATATCGCAACGATAATGACACAAATAATATTTGTAATGAACTCGGAGTAATTTGCGAACGCACATTAGATTTATTTGTGTTTTTAGTGATAAACGATATCAGCAATTTTTTTAGGCGCATAAAAACGGTTTGCGCACACAAAAACTTTAACAAATTATTAAATGTGTGCAGAATTCAAATATGGCGCACATGATTCCTTTGTGATATGCACACCATACTAGTTTCTCGAAATATTCGGAAAAAACTCTCTTCCCAACCGGCATTCGGTTTAATTTAATTAGTATTTATAATTTTTTATATACCATTTCCCAGCTATCAATCTCCCTTTGTGGTGGTGGTGGTTACATATAAAAACCAAAGGTTCTCACACAACGCGGTTCAACACGCGGAACTCGTCTAATACTCGAAAAGGTTCACAACTTCTCTTGAGAAAGTTGTTGTATCCTATATACGCACACTCCATATATATAATATATATATATTATACGCAATTTTACTTTTCATACGCATTTGACCGGTCTTGGTGTTTTACTAATTCTGAGAGAGACACTCGTTCTCTAAGCTATAGTCAGTCAAGAGAATTGCTACTTGCAACAAATCTCACTACTATTAACGAAAATTCGACCTAGAGTTAGTTAAACTTTTGGTAAAAATGTCGCAAATTCTACCTTTAGACCGAGGATCGTGCAAATCAGAAGAAAATATTGCACACGTCTCTAAGGAGACGGTGGAAATTCCTAACGAACAAAAGTTAACAGATAATGACACAACACCACTTGAAAAACATGATTTATCTCATACTGCACAGGATTTATCAGAACAAGCGCAAGAGTTGTCTGTAGAGAGTGATATTATTCAGAAACCGAGTCCTGCTACACTCGAATTCAAAAACGAAGAATTGACCAGCAGTGAAGAACAAGAAGAGGGTGAACTCGAGGAAATCGAAGAAGACGATGACGACGACGATGACGACGAGGAAG